TATGATCCCTGAAGAAGTACCATTGTTATTACTGATTGAGCTCTTACCATGGGCACATTCTGTGCTGGGCCCTTTCCAGGCATCGGCTCAGTCAATCTTCACGATAGTCTTTGAGGTAGGTGCTGCTATTGACTCCATTTTACAGATGGGAAAACTGAGTCCCAGAGAGTCACAGGGCTTATTCCTAGTGAGCCATATGGCTCACAAGTGAGTAGCCGAGCTGGAATCTACACCAGACACTCTGGCCCCAGAGCCCACTCTCTTAAAGTGGGAGCAGCATAGGTAATGGTTAGAGCCAGACCCTGGGGCCAGGCAGGTCAGGCTGCCTCCTGGCTTCTCTGCTTCCAGGTATGTGACCTTTGGGAAATAACTTAAAGTTTTGGTTTCTTTGTCTATAAGTTGGGGATAATAGAAATTATCTAATAATTCAAGGGGATGTGAAGATTATAATTGCATACTTGAGATGATTTAATCTACACAACCCATTTAGAACAGTGCCTGGCGCTTGGCTGCTGTGATGATGGTGATGGTGACGATAATGCTGCCAATACTGCCTCTTGTAGAGTAAATAACAGTATTTCAGAGCATGCAGAGAAAATGGCAAAGAACATTTTGAAGCAGAGAAAACATGAGAATCTGTGAACTGTCGCCAATGTCTTCACTTGACCCAATCTGCCCCACATGTGGCTTAATTCATTGTTATTTATGGTGGCTCTTTAGGTCTAGAGTCAAGACGACCCAGCTCCCCCCTCATCGATATTAAACCCATCGAGTTTGGGATTCTCAGCGCCAAGAAGGAACCCATCCAGCCTTCAGTGCTCAGACGGACCTATACCCCACAGAGAAAATGGCAAAGAACATTTTGAAGCAGAGAAAACATGAGAATCTGTGAACTGTCGCCGATGTCTTCACTTGACCCAATCTGCCCCACATGTGGCTTAATTCATTGTTATTTCTGGTGGCTCTTTAGGTCTAGAGTCAAGACGACCCAGCTCCCCACTCATCGATATTAAACCCATCGAGTTTGGGATTCTCAGCGCCAAGAAGGAACCCATCCAGCCTTCAGTGCTCAGACGGACCTATACCCCGGATGACTATTTCAGGAAGTTTGAGCCCCGGCTGTACTCCCTCGACTCCAGCAGCGACGACGTGGACTCTCTGACAGACGAGGAGATCTTGTCCAAGTACCAGCTGGGCATGCTGCACTTCAGCACCCAGTACGACTTGCTGCACAATCACCTCACAGTGAGGGTGATCGAGGCCAGGGACCTGCCACCTCCTATCTCCCATGATGGCTCTCGCCAGGACATGGCACATTCCAACCCTTATGTCAAGATCTGTCTCCTGCCAGACCAGAAAAACTCTAAGCAGACCGGGGTCAAGCGCAAGACCCAGAAGCCCGTGTTTGAGGAGCGCTACACCTTCGAGATCCCCTTCCTAGAAGCCCAGAGGAGGACCCTGCTCCTCACTGTGGTGGATTTTGATAAGTTCTCCCGCCACTGTGTCATTGGCAAAGTTTCCGTGCCTTTGTGTGAAGTTGACCTGGTGAAGGGCGGGCACTGGTGGAAGGCGCTGATTCCCAGTTCTCAGGTAAGGGATGGATTTGCAGGGTCTCCTCCTGGGAGCTTGGGGAAAAAAATGGTTATGTTTATTTTATTTTGCTATTTTAAAAAATTGGAGGGGATTTTTTAAACTTTTTATTTCAAAATAGTGTTGACACACAAAAAGTTGCAAAAGTAGTACATTGAGTTCTTGTGTCTTCTCTGTCTAGTGTCCCCCCACTGAGGATGTCTTCCACGACCACAGTTCATTAGCAACACTGGGAAACAGACATTGGTGACCAGCCTAGAACTTATGCAGATTTCACCGGTTTTTACATGCCCCACTCCTTGTGTGAGTGAGTGTCTGTGTGCGTGTGTGGTTCTGTGAAATTTTATCACATGAATAGATTCGTGTAACCACCACCACTCTGGCAGCCTTCCTGTCATTGATGCTGGGTTATTTAATAAGGAGAATGATAGTCTGGAGTATAAAGCTATCAGTCACTTTGACTTTCAGAAACTGATTTGGGGAAAAAAAAAAGTGAGGGCTAAAAATCAGGATGATGCATGGATATTCTTCAGGCAAATTGTTAGATTGGCTTCCTTTCCCCATCCAGCCCAGACAAATGCAGTTGGCTGCTCGGGAAGCCACCCACAGACCAGGTTGTGTCCCTGCTAGGCTGCTGGGCATTCCCATGTCCTGGAGGATAAGTCTACAGCTATTGTGGGGAGAGGACAGGGGGAAGCCAAGGAAAGGAAAGAACCCATCCAGGAGGAGGTCCTTTTAGCCCATCCACGCTGGGGACATCAATCCTGTGTGACACAGCAGGATTATTTTGCATCAGACATTGTCAAGATGCCTCTTAAAGCCGTGCTCTACTGGCCAGAGATCTGATGACCCAGTGTCACACCTGGAGTGCAAGCGTTAAGCCTGAGGACTGGAGGGATCATTGCACTGTCAGAATGTGTGTGAGTGTGTGTGTGTCTGTATGTGTCTTCATAGATAGATTTATCCCTCTCTTAGTTTGGATTCCCCAAGAAGATCCTGAGGCAAAGGAGGTCACTTAGAGAGGCGACGCCAGTAGGAAACACCAGGAGGAAGTGGGAAAGTCACATAAAAGATGCATTATTGAACTGACCGTCACTGGGGGCGACTGAACCTTAAACCTGCTGGGGAAAGCGGGAGTCCATGCAAAATACACACAGCAAAGGAGCGCAGGAGCTGGGGTGTTTATACTGCAACTCCTGGCCGTCACTAAATGGGGGCTGCTGGCAGCTGGGGAGGTTGACTCCCTGGCTCTTCCAGCCTGTTGCACTGGCAGGTAAAGAGATCTCTGGCATTCACCAGTGCAGAATAATGCAAGAGCCGGTGGCTGGACGCCAGCTGGCATGGCAGGCAGTCCCTCTCGCTGCCTTCCTACCCACCATACGGTCAGGGTACACTGGTGCTTTCTGTTCATCTTCCTTGGTATTTGATATCAAAGAATTAACCTGTCTCAACCATCTAGAAACTTACAGTTTAAAGAGGGGGACCCACTAGACAAAGTCAGCTTTGTCTTGCCAGGCTCTGTTCTTCACTGCAGTGGAAGACCCTGGAGACACAAAATCCAACGTGTGCACACCTACCTCCTCAGGTCTTTGCTGCGGTGTCACCTTTTCAGCGAAATCTTCTTGCCATGTCTCTGTAGTCTGGCTCCTTCCTTCCTTCCCAGTCCTGTGGGATGGCCTGACGCAGACACAGGAATGGGAGATGGAGAACCGGGGAAGGAACTTGACCATCATTAGGCTGATGAGAGTTGCCTTTCCATGGGGAGCTACTGGTTGAGTTGTGAAGAAAATGGCCTTGGGCCCACCCTCCCCAGCACTTGTTTGCTGTGCAGTGCATTCCTCTGCACCTCCACAGGTGTAGTGGAGGTAGAAATGCCACCATCCAGGTGTGAGTTCAGGCACCAACCAGATGACCTGGTTAAAGGGCCTGATGGGTGGGAAGCCCTCCACAGCAGCGGCTCTGATTGTCAGGAGAGGACATCTACTCTGAGCCTGTTCACAGCAAGCCTGTGGGGCCTTGGCTTCCAGCATACCAAGCTGCAGTCACACCCAGGGGGACATCTAATTGGGATGGGCACAGGTGGCAAGCGTTTCTGATGAGGGCTGGTGTGGCTTCATGAAGCAGAGGAGCTGGCATTTCATGATCCGAGTTAATCTCTGAACCACCTCCCTTCCTCCTTCCATCTGAAGAGGGACAGCAGGGCCTGTCTTGTGTTGCTGCGGAGCAGGCTTCTCCCTGGCGAGCCAGCGGGCTGGCTTCTCAGCCTTGGTCTGAGCTGCAGGCATCACCTCAATGTCACAGGGCACCTCTGGGTGCCTCTAGGAATTAAAAGTAGGTGTCAGATTGAGATATTTCAGGGAGGTCAATCACCTGGGTGCTCGTCTGGTTTCCGCTCGCTCTTTTGCATGGGGGCTTCCAACCCTGTCGCTGGTGCAGTTATCAGGTAGAAAGTGGCTGTTAATTCCTATCACTATGGGTTTGGCTCTTAAATCCTGGCTGTGAACTCTGTATGTCTCTGGGTCCTAATTAAGACGGATGTTTTCTTAGGGTTGCTCAAAGTAGTTTGTGAGAGAGTCATGGACCTTTGAAATTCTTTTTTTTGTTTTTCCTTCTTCACCCTTCTTTATTACTCTTTATTCCTTCTTTACTGGCTTTCTTTTTTTCTATTTTTCTTGAAGTCCCATGATGTGCCAGGGATCTCTAGTCGGATTAATAAAATGATATCATACAATTCCTGTGAGCCAGGAACTCCCAGTCTAGTGGGGAAGACAGATCAGTAAGCAGCAAACCGTAATGTGATCTGCTGCATACAGTAATAAAGGTCCAACGAAGACTCCTTTTACTAAGAGTGGTCAAATTTGCCCCTGAAAATCCCTTAGGAAAGTGCTACGTTGGAGACTGAGCGCCCATCTCTCAGTAATTCCAACACAGTAGGTCCTCCAGCGTAGCAACAGACATGCTCACAAGCATTTAGGAGCAAATGGATGTAAGCAGGAGTTTTAAATTTTGATGAAATCATGTTGTATGAATATTTCTCTTTAAATCTCAGAGCCATACTTAACGAGGCAAGAAGCTCTGACAAAGAAAGGCTTATGGAAAGTGACTGAGGGAAGAGTGGATTCCTGTCGCCCATTCAGATTTACTCTGGAATTTATGCCCTTTGAGTGGAAAGGCCATTTGTCTTTGGCTGAGTTCCCTAGAAGCAGAGCCTGAGACAGGGACTTGGTATGGATTGGTTTCCTGGGGCTGCCATAACAACACACTGCAAACTGGGTGGCTTAAAAGAACAGTAATTTATTGTCTCAGTTCTGGAGCCTAGAAGTCCAAGATCAAGGTGTCAGCAGGGCCGGGCTCCCACTGAAACCTGGAGGAGAACCCTTTCTTGGTCTCTCCCTGGCTTCTGGTGGCTGCAGCAATCCCTAGCATTGCATGGCTTGCAGCTGCACCCTCCAGTCTCTGCCTGTGTCACCACATGGCTGTCTTCTCCAGGTATGTCTGACGCATCTCTTCTTATAAGGGCACCAGTCATATTGGATTAGGACCCACCCTAACTTCAGTGTGACCTCATCTGAATTTAAATGACATCTGCAATGACCATATTTCCAAAGAAGTTTACATTCTGAGGTTCTGGGGATTTGGACTTTAACATAACTTTTTGAGGGGACACAATTCAATCCAAAGCAGAGTGCATGAGAAAAACCTGCAAGGAAGGAAACCAAACAGGATAGGTAAAGGGTAACAGCCAAGGGAGGATGTGGTCTTCAGTCAAACCTAACCTCAACCTGATCTATGGTGGGGGGACTCTGGATGATAAACTTGCACTTCAGAGTTGTTCCTTCTTGAGACAAGGGAGCCAGCCTTTTGTAGCCCCATATCAGCCACTCATTTGCTATGAGCCAGAGTGGGAAATTTTATTTTCAGCAGAGCGGCCATGGGCCTACTCAAAGCTCCTATTACTCTAGGATGGTGTTTCTGAACCAGGGACAACTTAGAGACATTTTGGAGTTGGTGGGTGGGAGGTGCTGCTGGCATCTAGTGGGAAGAGACCAGGGATGCTTCTAAGCACCCTACAGTGCACAGGACAGCCCCCACCACAAAGAATAATCCAGCCAAACATGTCAATAATGCCAAGGTTGAGAAACCCTGCTATGGAACAAGGGGAGAATGGATATTGGGGGGACAATGGCAGGTCTGCTGTCCATTCCATATGTGGAAAATGAGATACTAGTCCTGAACAAAAACCTTCATCAAGCAAAAATATGGCCTGTATTGGAGACAGAAGACAAAGTCCTCACACAGTGCTCTGAGGCTGTCGAAGTGGATGTAACTGCTGGTTTCCATTGGAGGCCGGCATCTGCCTTCCCCCAATCATTTGGTCGCTCAGTTGAATGAGAGGGGTAGGATCCAGCTGGTGTGTAAGAAGTATTCAGTGTCTCATTTCCAGCCTGTCTGAATGACATACAGGGCAGAGTAACTTTTAGGGTCTAGTTCCACTTTCTCTGCCTTGGAGATTCCAAGGGAAAGGAGGATGGGTGGCTTGTAGGGCCAGCGTGGATAAGCACCCTCTGTCCCACAGCAGAATGTCCCACCTGTCTTGTGCCTCTGAACGTTGCATCTTTGATCTTGGCATTCAGGAAATTGGCAGCTAATGGAGCGACAGCATTTTTTGGGTCTCACTGATAAGGTTTGGCCAGAAGATAATGGAAATAAGGACGTAGAAATACGAAGCGTCAAGGGTGATTGGCACAGGCATGAAATTACACTGGCCATTAAGAGAAATCCTGCCCATCTAAGTGGATCAAAGGCCATTTAGAGGCAAAATTTGTGTGGGTGCAACTCTTTTTAAAAAAATTATTCGTTTTAATTGTGGTAAAATATGCATAACATAAAATTTACCATCTTAAACATTTTTAAGTGTTCACTTCAGTGGCATTAAGTACATTCACATTTTTGTACAACCATCACCATCATCCACCTCCAGAACTCTTTTTATCTTGCAA